AAGAAGAAGAAGAAGAAGAAGAAGAAGAAGAAGAAGAAGAAGAAGAAACAGTCGCCACCGCCTTGGGTTATAGTTTTAAATTCTTCCCCCAGCAGTAAAACCGTCAATTGGGAATTTTACCTCTACTTACAGGGGATGTTGTTGAGTAAGGATCTCACACCCCCTTGACATTGGCGTTCTACTTTTAAGCTCTTCACGTCGCCTTCTCCTCCCCGGGAATCCAAGTTTACAGCCAGTGGTAAATTCTTTCCCAGCTGCACATCAAACGGAGTGGCACATTTGTAGCTGGAGGGAGTGTCAATGGGAACAACTTTTGTTGCCTGTGTCGGCCAGATCCCACCCTTCCAGGCTGGATGCAAATTAGCCCAGCCAGGAAAGCAGAGGAAACCAGGTCTGCACTGTTCAGATTACAGAGGGAGGGTGGGAAGCTTCAGATAGTGACGTTCCCTCAAGGGCCAAAGGACAGGTGACGCAGGAAGATTGCAATTAAGCAATACCATTTATTATTATAACAAAGCCGGAAGGAAATCTTTAATTCAGAAGAAGAAGGGGGAAGGGGTGGATAAACTCTTTTGGCCTGTTGGCAGAACCAAAATCAGCCCTCTCCAAATATGAGGGTAAAAAGCACACAGATCTATCATTCTAGTAAGCTAACAATAGCATTGGATGGGAGGGAGGGGAGGGAGGGAGAGAGAGAGAAAGTGAGAGAGGGAGGGGGACAGAGAGAGAGAGAGAAGGAGGGAGGGAGGGAAGGAGACGGAAGCAGAGAGAGAGGAGAGAGAGAGGAGGGGTGGAGAGAGAAAGAGAGAGGGAGGGAGAGAGAGAGAGAGAGAAGGAGGGAGGGAGGGAAGGAGACAGAAGCAGAGAGAGAGGAGAGAGAGAGGAGGGGTGGAGAGAGTATGGGGAGGGGGACAGAGGGAGGGAGAAGGAGAAGGAGAGGGAGAGGGAGAGGGAGAGGGAGAGGGAGAGGGAGAGAGAGAGAGAGAGAGAGAGAGAGAGATATTTAAATCTAGGAACAGACACAAAAGGGACCCAGCAGTGACCTTCCCAACAATATGGATCTATTTAAAGCTGATTAAAAGTTCTCGTACAAGTGAAGTTTAAAAGAAAAGCAAACTCCAAAGCTAGCAGGAAAAAGTCTGCTGATAAGTTGATTATGCCATGTAGGATTCTGTGTGACTCAGACCTGAATCCTGGCCTCTGACCACATTGGGGCCCACAACTGCAATGCACCACCTGATCTGATTTCATTTTTATTACCATTCTTACAACAATCATAAAGCAAGTCCCTTCTTTTTTCAATTTTTTTTTATTACATTCCTGTCTTTTTCCATTTGATGACCTGTTATCTGGATGCAAATAACTTGTGCAATACAATTAGTGTTTACAGTCATATTCATTGCACAGTATTATTCTCTAATCTTATTTTGTTATCTTTCTTTGTAGCTTATTAATTTCTATTGAAAGATATCTACTAACCTTCGACATTCTTAATTAATCCATTAACTATATCTATCATATTTTTTCTCTAATCATTGATAAAATAATCCCCATACTTTATAATATTCAGTTTGCTCTCTTTCTTTGATTGCAAGTGTTAACCTATTCGTTTCTGCACATTCTAATATTTTCCTAATCACATTTTCTTCAGTATGGGTCTGTTCTCTTTTCCAATTTTGAGCAAACACAATTCTCGCTTCAGTTATCATATGAATAACTAGATGATAGGAAAGGATGGTAGGATAGGATGATAGGATGTGGTGCAGTAGGGTGGGATGGAATGGAATGGAATGATAGGATAGGATAGGATTAGGTGGGATGGGATGGAATAGCATAGGATAGGATAGGATAGGATACGATAGGACAGGACAGGACAGGACAGGACAGGACAGGACAGGATAGGATAGGAGAAAGGGACTTTGGAAGTCTTCTGGTTCAACTAGTTTAGTTTCTGAGCATTTTGTTAGCAGACTAGGTAATATCATGAGCAGGCTGTACTTGTCCTGTTCTCTTTAGCTTATAAATGTCTTGTTTGGTCAGTTGGTTGTATGATGGGTTGTTTGTTTGGAGCTGTACTTGTTCAGTGATTTTTTGCCCCATTGTACGACGTTCCTTGCCACCTTGGTTTAGGGAATCCCTGCAGTCGTTAAATTAGTAACACGGTGGTTGGTTCAGTGAATCTGGCTTCCCCCATCATCTTAACCTATCCTATCACCTATCCTATCCTACCATATCATCCTATCCTAATCCTATCCTATCATTCTATCACCCCATCCCATCATCTATCCTATCCTACCATTCTATCCTAATCCTATCCTATCCTATCCTATCATCCTATCCTATCCTACCATTCTATCCTAATCCTATCCTATCCTATCATCCTATCCTATCCTATCATTCTATCACCCCATCCCATCATCTATCCTATCCTATCATCCTATCCTATCCTATCCTATCCTATCCTATCCTATCCTATCATCTCATCATCCTATCCAATCTAATGATCTGATTTGCTGATTCATTGACCTCAGTGAGTTTTTTGTTTTTTTTTAAAGAAGCTTAAAGGCTGGCAATGGTGTGTAACTGGATGGATCTGTTGAAATTTATCACAGGTTAGTGAAACGAGGTGGAGGCAACGTATGCAGTGAACCTGTGAAAGGGAGCCCTGTTACCCTCAAGCATTTTTCTCCTCCGGAAGCAGGGAAAGAACCAGCTGCAAACCATCAAGCTCTGCCGGAATGTTTCTGGCTCCAAGATCCTGGGCAGCATTAAACCAGGTCAGGGACCTCTTTGGCGTTCACAAGTTGAGGTTGGAATTAGCAGCAGTTTGTTTATATGGGGCACAGCTGTTTTCAAGTATATTTAAGCTCCCAGAGAGAAATGCTAGTTTATTTCTTTTTATTTTATTTTACAAAAGGCAGCCCAACTCAGAGACCCCCAATCTTCCGGGCACCAGGGACCAAGGACAGGTGGTGGTTTTGCATGCTAGTTGCATCCTTGTTTGTGTGGCCCAGTTACTGGCATGCCGTGGGCTCAGGGGTGGGATTCAAATTTTTTAACAACTGGTTCTGTGGGTGTGGCTTAGGTGGTAGGCGTGGCTTGGTGGTCATGTGACTGGGTGGACATGGCTTGGTGGTCATGTTATTGGCTGGGCATGGCCAACTCAATATCACTCACATCGAGGCACGCATCTCCTCGCCTGGCCTCTCATGATTGTGGGGATGCTGCAACAGTCGTAAGTGTGCAAAACTGGTCATAAGTCACTTTTTTCAGTGCCATTGTAACTTTGAATGGTCACTCCACACAAGCAAAGTACCAGCAAAGGAGGGGGAAAAAAACTCCAGAGAAGTTGCTGAGACAGGAAGTCTAGTCCTGCCAAGAATGTAATAAGGGTTAACGGAGAGGCAGTTTCTGTAAGCAACACCAGAATGTTTCCTTCCTGCTTTCCTTACAGGATTAGGCCAGTAATTTCTTCTAACAACCGGTTCTCAGAACTGCTTAGAATGTTAACAACCGGTTCTAGCGAATAGGTGCGAACTGGTAGAATCCCATCCCTGCGTGGGCTGGTTTATGGACCAGGGGTTGAGGACCCCTGACTCAGGTCATTCAGCTTAAGTGCAAGGCCCTTTTGTAGTTTGTCAAAGGCAAGAGGCCCAGAAGTGGTATTCAGCAGGTTCTAACCAGTTCTGGAGAACCGGTAGCGGAAATTTTGAGTAGTTTGGAGAACCAGCAAATCCCACCTCTGACTGGCTCCGCCCCCATCTATTCCCTGCCTCCTCAGTCCCAGCTGATTGGCTGGATCTTATTTTGTTACCCTGCACAGGAGAACAGAGCTGGAAAGCAGGTTAGTGGGGTGGGGAGGGAATGGGGATTTTGCAGTAACCTTTCCCTGCCATACCCACCAAGCCACACCCACAGAACTGGTAGTAAAAAAAATTGAATCCCACCGCCTTATTTGTAAATCATGTTGTCAGTTAGGGAAGACTCCTTTATTGCTAAACCTGTGTTTTTCCGGATGGTTTAAAGCAAAAGTGGCTTGCTTTCTTTTCTCTTAACTCAGGTGCCTTTGCTTGCCCCGAAGGCTGAATAATAATAATAACAACAACAACAACAACAACATTGCAATACCTGGTGATGCACAAATTGAAGACAAGCAGCAAGAAAAAAACACAAAGTACCGGGACTTACAAATGGAAGTTGAGCTACTTTGGAAAAAGAAATCTTGTGTTATCCCAATTGTGATTGGAGCCCTTGGAACAATGCCTAAAGGGCTGCCTCGCTATTTGGAAATTCTGAATTTATCAGACCTGAATATCCTGATTCTACAAAAAAAAAACCACCCTACTTGGAACAGCTTATATCCTCCGATGCTACCTGAACAGATCCTAGGTCCTTGGTTAGGACTCGAGCTGTTGAGCTACCAACCAGCCCCAAAGGCTGTGAATCTCACCAAAGATTAACCACCACCACAATAAACCACAACCACGTTTGACTGGTGATTTGTGATACAAAGCCCAGCATAGTTATCTTGTTTGCTGTGTACACTGTTGTATTTTGTGTATATAATAATAATAATAATGATGATGATGACAGTTTTATCCCATGAGAAATCAAAGGGTGAATTATTCCGTGTGCTTCGCTGGGAGAAATGTGCACATCCACTTCTAGGTAAATAGGATACGATTGTTAAGTTTAAAAGTGAGCGACCCTTCACTCCTTTGCAACCATTGCAGCCCAGATAAGTCCTTGACTTACACCCGCAGTTGAGCCCAAAATTTCTGTTGCTAAGGGAAACATTTGTCAAGGGAGTTTGTCCCATTTTATGACCTTTCTTGCTGCAGCGGTTAAAGTGAATCACCGCAGTTGTTAATAACACAGTTCTTAAGTGAATCTGGCTTCCTCAATTGACTTTGCTTGTCAGAAGGTCGCAAAAGGGGATCACGTGACTGTGGGACCCCGCAACCGTCATAAATCTGAGTCAGTTGCCAAGTGTCTGAATGTTGATCATAAGACCATGGGGATGCTACTAGGGTCCTAAGTGTGAGAACTGGTCATAAGTCACTTCTTTCAGTGCTGTTGTAACTTTGAACTGCCATGAAACGAACTGTTGTAAGTTGGGGATTACCTGTCTGTGTCATAATCTTTCCCTATCCAAGGTTACCCTTTTATCAAGTTTCTGGTAGGTATTTTTTTCTTCTTCCTCTTTTATTGTGGGTGGGTGGACCTTGTCAACTTTAAGACTTGTGGACTTCAGCCCCTGAAGGGGAAGGAGGGAGGATGAAAAGAAGGAAGAAAGGAAGGA